GAAGTATTATCTGGGTGAATGTTCTTTAATGGCATTGGTAGAGGGAGCAAGACCCTATGATAAATACATGAAAAGGAAGAGAAAATTTGCTTAGTCTGAAATATATAATTTTTTTGGTCTGGCTATTATTATTGGGCTAGTTGTTGTTTGTGACAGATTTTAACTATTTGAATGCTCGTATGTGGGTCAGAGTAGTACAGAACTGTCCTGAGTAGCTATCAAGTGTACTGTTGAGAGTTACTTATAAATACGCAACTTTCTGCCTTGCAGTCTTAAGTAGACTGAAGCTTCTACAGGATTGCAAGCAGGCGAGGGACCTTGTCTCACTCGTGTGTTGTGACCCTCTAGTCTGTCTGTGTTTTGGCCCCTGTGTATAGTGAATGTGCTGCAATTTTGCTCTGGACATTAGCGGGCACTGATCAACTTGTACATACTCTTTAAAGCTTACAGTGCTCCTTTACTCTTGAATCACACAAGAATTAGACAATAATAAAGAAAATGATTATTTCTTAGTGTTTCTTTTGCTTTTAACTTGACATTTAGAAATCAAATTTTGAACAGTGTCCACTACTGCCAGCTGCTGATAATTGATTTAAATTAAGATTTAATTTACAAATTATCACAAACCCTGTACGTTTTGAAATTTGGAAGCAAAAATATAATTTCTTCCATAATATGTGGGATTTACAATTTTAATTGTTATTAATATTCCTTTATTGTAATTTATTTATTTCCTTACCTCTCCTTCAAAAATTTACAGAAGTACTTTAGAAAGTGTGGAGAGAATTAAAATAATTACATTTGTAAATAATACATTAGATTTTTCCATTGTTTCCACGTTTATACACCGTTAGTAAACCAAAAGTGCAGTTAGTTGGTGGACTAATACTTGGTACACCAATATTTGTTCTTGCACAAAGAAATTTGTAAGTCAATTGAGAAGAACAATAAAAAATTGTTTAATGGAAGCAATTTACTCCCAACTTTTTTGAACCAAGATATCTTCAAAGATTAAATTTAGATGTTTTGTTCCATTTCCTGTGCACTGTTGTTACCTTCTGTGTTTTGATATCTGCACAATATACTTAGAATTCTGTTGTGTGCATTGTTTCTCTGACCTCTCTTTAAGTAATAATTTCTCGTTATTGGTGTTGGTAACATTCTCTTTCTTGGGAGGATGTCTCATATTAAGAATTGCTGCAATACTTATTTTTGGAGTAACTTGTTTTCTTTTTGTGGATGCCAATCAATTTTGAGAATTTAAAATTTGCAAAAATTATGAAGTGATTTGTTTGGGCATGTCTGTCTGCTGTTTTATGAAAAGATATTGCTTTGTGTTTCATTGATGTAAAAATCCACAATTGTTATGTATTGCCAACTTGGAGTATGTAAAGATATGTTGCTCATATGATACTAACTCTTACAGTTATGATTGGTTAAATGTTGGAAATGTTCTTATGAAAAAGGAATGAACAGAAATTCCAGATTTCTTAGAAATTACTTCAACGTTCATCAAAATTGCATTTTTATTGTAAATGTTTTTTATTATTGTCTTCTTTCAGTAGAATTTACTCCTTCAAGGTATAAACTTCGTTCTGCTGGGATTTATCAAATTCACCCATTCTTCTAAGTCAATTCGTAAGTCATGGTGACCATTTCAAATCTTTCTCATACATTTTAAAATGTAAAGCCCAGCAAATACATTTAAAATCTATTCTTAACTACTTCTAAATGCTAGAATAATAAGCATTTAATGCGAAACTTCAGAATTTTAGGTAACCGTAATCTGTCAAGATTATCATCTCTCTTGATGCGTTGGGTCATTATTACTAGCATTTCTCCGAGATATCTCACAAGTTCACTAAATCATAAAAATGACGGTATGGTTTGAAGACTACTTACCAATATTGGAACATTAATTACCTACCTGCTGCGTTGCAAGTACATTCCTTCAGTACTATTACGTAAGAAATGTAGACAACCTAGAAAGTTGGTTTGAAGTGTTCAGATATTCAGTATCTTTTATAATACAACACACTTGCGTAGTATTGAATAAATATTTCTTCTTTATTCCTCCTTGAAATAGGCTTCCTAATCTTAATTCAAATGTTAATCTAGTGTTGGTATTTAGAAGTGCTTTTGTAGACAAAAATTAATGAATTTAAAACATATTTTGAACAGCCTTTCAGAATTACATAGTAAATCAGACAAATTCAGAATAAAATGTTTGAAACAAGTAAAATGAAAAGTGTGGCTTATAAATTGACTTGTATATTTTTATGTTACCGATAAAGATTATTTGAAAGGAAATAAATATTAAGTTTGAGGTGCTCTATATTACTATACATTTCTTGTATTATTATACTAGATTAAACATTTCTATTTCGTTTAAGGGCCCTATCTTCAGCCCGAACAGATTTGTAGGACAAGTTATGTTCTCAAAATAATGTCGTAGAATTTGACTTGGACTACCTCTGTTTGGTATATTCTATTTAACATATTGAGAATACATATTATTTAAGAAAATTTAACAAAAATCACTTTTGAAATAACATTGTACAAATGAAGCTGATTATAGCAAAACATCTGCCCCTTGGTTGTTCGATCAAAGAAATCGGTAATAATCAGTTAAGTTTGCAAAATATCTGAACCCTCACTAGTTTGAAGTCTAACAAATTTGAAACTACATAAACCATGTTACTAGCTTATAATAACATATTAGAGAAAAATGAAGCCAATGAAGACATATTTGGAAGAGCTCCAATGTTAATGAAGGTAAGCATGAGAAATGAATATTTGCATGTGATAGAGGAAATACCCCCACTAAACAGGTTAATTCAAAAATACTTTTACAAACTTCGGGCATTGGTTCCTAATTCAGAAAGAAGACGAAGTTCATATGATCATGTGTCCTACAATCCTTTTTCTCGTAGATTTATTAAGGAATATTTATAAGATCTTGTAAACTCATAACAAGTACTTGAAGTGATCTCTTGTTTCTAGACACACATGTACTCGTTGAATCATGGACTGTCACACCTTTTCCAATACTCCCAGTTTGTGTCAAATGGTTCCATAGGCTTCTATGGCATGTACATGAAGAGTTTCTTCATCTGAGGTGTTTGCTGCATAAACCAATTGTTTAATGTACCCCCAGAAATAAAAATACAAAAAACTGAGATCAGGAGAATGTGCATCTTGTGGAATTGGTCCTCTACCTCTCCCATCTGCCATGGGAGATACTGGTCACTACACCTCGAATGAGACTAAAATGTTCTGGAGCTCCATCATTCACAAACTACCATTTGTAGGGGCATATTTTACTGTAGAAAGTGTGGGAGAGTAATCTGAATAACATCCCTGTAGACATAACCTGGGAGTATATATGGAATAATGTAGTCACCTACAATTCCAGCCCCACACATTGATCCTGAACTGTTGTTGATGTCCAGCCTGAGCTGTACCATGAGGTTTATGATCTCTCCATTATGTGTTGGTTGTTGAAATTAGTAGTTCAATCTCTTCCAAACTTTGCCTTGTCTTGTAAACAAAACTGGCAAGACAAACAATTGATTGACTGTGCTAGAAACCATCAGGGGAGAAAATAAGAAAGAAGAAAAAAATGCACATGATGATACAGGATGCAGGTAGTGTTCATGAAGTATCTTCATGCTGTACTGTGAGATGTAACATATGACATGTCTTGTGCTGATACCTGGATTGCCTTTGACTAACTACAATTTGTTCTTTGTCATCGGGTGTCTGCACAACACTTCCTTGTTCAAGTTGTGCCATGAAGCCTCATGTTCATTACCATTCTCAGGGCCATAAATAAAAATATCAGCCTGCTCATAAAAAGGATGTTCTGCCATGGTTGAAAGAATGCTTGCAGTTCACTCACTACATGTACACAATTAAAACAGACTAATGACAAATGTAAACAAGTCTCCATGGCAAAACACAGCCATTTATTAAAAATGAAGAATTCAATTTGTTATGCATATGTGGGCCTCTGTATATTTTTAGACAAACTTTTTGTAAGAAATTGAGAAAAACTCCTAAAATATTTTCTTTATTACATGGCATTACAGGTTGTCATTGTTCCATAACAACAAATTCTGGTATGCTGTGTCCTCACAAATTTTTTTAAGAGAAGTCTGGATGTCTTGCCCCAAGGGTCACTCTTTGAAGTTGTGCCAAGACAATATAAAGATCTTACAGAAATACCAGTTTTTGAGTAACAGTGGTGAACTCGTGGAATGGATTGCCAACAGAGTGTCAACAGAGCTACACTGAGTTCAGCCTTACAAGATATGCTAGACACATGTTGTCTATTAACTTTTGATACAATACTTCTTTTACATTATTTTTTTTATTGTTAAAGTTGTAGTACATGATGTATGCTATGTGAGGTATTAAATATATTATAATACAGAGATTATCAATTTATACAAAGAAAAAGAAAATTCATAAAATAGAGGTGAGCTCTATTCTTTGTCACATGTTTCAAATAAAATATATTAATATGTTTGGATTTTTTATAGTACCCGATGACAGGAACAAGACAGGTTCCTAAAACGTGAAAAGTGTGTGAGGTTGTCTCAATTTCTTACGAAAAATTTGACTGTCTAAAAATATAGAGAGGACCATACATGCATAACTATATTATTAATAGAGTTGTAGCATATAAGAAAATGAGAATATAATTTAGTCAAGGCCTTCAATGAATGAATGCAAAGATGTTGTGGAGTTGGATCTGGAAATGTGTTGAACATAAACCTTCATTTAAAAATGACTGAGAAAACAAGACTGTGGGCCATATTCATAGAAAATTTGTGTGTGTGTGTGTGTTTACACACTAAAAAAAAGTGCATGTGCTTACAGGTTAATATTAGCAAATGAATGATCTATAACTTCATTATGAAATTGGAAAAACAAAACAAAGAGGAAAAAAGTTAGCTAACAGAAGCATTTACCAAATAATCACTTAGTCTAAGAGGATCAGAAGTTTTAAAAAATTCTTGCAATCAGTTTATATTAATATACAGTTTATTTTTACACTTTTGGACCCATGCCAAAGATACATATTTGTACACATCCAAGCCAATAAGTTTACCAAAGTTTTAGTTAAGAATTATTCCTGTAAAAATAACTAAAATATTATTCAATTAAAAATTACTATTAGCAAACAATTTTTTATAATATGTACAGCAGTGAACATGATCATAAGTCATGGAAGGAATTTCTAAGAAAACAAACAGTCTTTTGGCAGAAATACTGGCTTGTATAAAGAACAACAATGCACTGCCTTGCATAATAAAAGAAATGCAAGAGGCACATTTTATAGATGACACACAGAACAGTGTGTTTAGGCTTAATTTCAGCAGATCTATAATCCCATTGTTTGGGAACAGAACAAATCTGTACTTAGCAGTAACAACAGCTAGAATTATACACTGATTATGGAATAGCGACTCACACATTGAATATAAATTTCAATGGAAAACTTTTAACATCTTCATACTTTGATGAAAGAAGAGTCTGTAAGAGACTGTAGACGAGTGAAACGCCGACCACGTAATCTTGAAATTCCTTCAGAAAGAGATGTAGGGCGACTAAAAAACTCAACAATTGGGCCTCCGGTTAAAACTGTAGCCAGGAACTGTTCAACTGTAATAGCCCAATGAGGATCTGGTCCACCTCCTGGGTTTCCGTTCTTATCTGCAGCCTGGAAACGCATGTACAGAGTATTAAAAATGCATACTATTGTGTAGTTAACAGTTTGCAAGTTTTGATTTGCAACTGCAATAAAAACACCAGACAGGCCTTATTAATAATCGAGACCTGCTGAGTTCTCAAAAGCTTAATAAGAGTTTAATGCAGAATTTTTAGATTTTTCACATACACTGTACTCCCTGAAGATGACCATATTTACCACTGAACAATTTAGAACCAAGTTCACCTTGCAAAACTGTAACTACAAAGCCTCAAAATCTAAACAACTTGCTCTAAACACGTAGACAGAGCAATGCACTTCTCATGAGCCACTATCTTTGAACCTTTTTGTACTGCATAAAGTAAAACATACTTAACTATTCGCCATCAATAAATTATTAAGTTAGATGTTCCATATCATTAGGCAGATATGTGCATTTTCTGTCACAAGAAATGCTGGCAAAAAGTCTGAAGGGAAAGAAATTTCAATGCAATCTCTCAGCCATTATTGAAGACTACTTTTAGAGAGACGAATTAGCAAATGAATACCTTTACAGAGTCAGAACTCCCTACAAGCAATAATCTACTGGTCAAAATGGTCCTTCCAAAAGTTAATGCTGATGTTCCTGTTTCAAAAATTAATCTTTATGCTTCACAAAGTATTTTTCTGTTCTCTTAATATTATGTTAAATTTTTCAACTTTGAACCAGATTTGATTGACAAGTCTCTTGAGGTGGATACCTGTTCTGTGGGTGTACTCTGTTTGCTTGGCAGGTGAGCAGCAGCAGCATCCACCAAACTGTCAGCAGATTCTTCTTTCTCCATGTAGAACTTTTTGCCCACATCCCCTAACTGTAGAAGCAACGTACCTGCAGCACAGTATGTACAATAAGTTTTTAAAAAAATTGACTTTTTGGCAACATGACTTGCTTACGTTCATGATAAACAAGCTGACTGCAAACTAAGACACCTCCAAATTTCTACCAGGTGTTCATATAATGCTTGTGAATAATTTTACCACTTGTATATTTTTAATAAAAATATATACATTTTGAGGCTTAACATTTTTCACAATATTTATAATTTTTCAAAATTTAAATGCAGCCAAAATGTAATCTTAAAAAACATCTTTCAACTCCTTAGGTTTGATTCCTAGCTAACATTTTTTCCCTTTATGAAAATATTCTGAGAAAAGCGAATGGTCATTTTGAAGGAGTTTTTGAAAAAGCAGGTGAAAGAAGGCTTTATTAAGATCTGGATGTTTTGGCATGGGAGAATTGGAATCTGATTAGTTTGACTTATTTCTGACGCACATGAATCTACACGTGAGTGATATGAGAGGATCCTCAGAGTATTCGAGTCCTACTATATGGGTGTTCTAAGTGGATAAAAGAAATATACATCTTATTTTTATTGTATATAAGAAGTAAACATTCTTCTTTACATGCCTATGTTTTTTTACTAATATTGGAACTTCAAATCCCCTATTATAAAGCTTACTTCTGGTGCCTGCAATTCCAAGTATTTTCTATCCCCTACTTGGTTAAAATGAGCTGAATGTGGAATACAAATAACTTGAGATGGGTATTTGTATCAGATCTACAAAACGCTGTGAGCAAAATAATATTTCAAAAGAGAAATTAGGAAAAGAATCCTACCAACAGTAGCAATGGAATGAAACAATTCCTGATCCTCTGGCTGTGTCTGGAACATGTCATAAAGCGTCTTCCATAACATAATGAAGTGCGGTTGTGACATTCGAGGCACAGTCTTCAAATCAGGTCGACTGTCCCGAGCTTCAACTAGTGATCTTAAACTGCTGGTACTCCGAACTTCCCAAGACTGATCACCTGCACAAACACACAAGACTTCAGAGCATTGATCTATCAGTTTACATGTATTCTCCTATTGGCAGTGCTAGTCTCCCAAGTCAGTCGCGTCACCGGAGTTCTGATCCACTGACGTTCCCAACCAGGGAAGAGGGAACTTTTTTACGGTCTCATTAGCAGCTGAAGAGCTGCGGATAGGAAAGTTTCAACATGCATGGAAAGATGTGTACAACCATGTGTGGAGGAGGTGGTTGGGTGAACACATACGCAAGTAGTTGTGCTGGCTTGCCACGCTGCCTGGCCGCTCTTCTGGTTCGCGACCAGAGTCTTCTGTGTGGCTTGACATGGACTCGAGGGATGTGACGCTCTGCTCCATACTCTCGAAGAAATCTGTAGCTTCAGCAGCTATCTCTGCGCCAGTCTCTGCAGGGAAGCCATTAATGAGATCACCCAAAATAAACAATTCGTAATCTTGTGCTCCACAATAAGTAAACACTGTGTCATGATTTCCCCTTATCACAGGGTTCTGGTGTAAAAATACTCTGTCTTTGTTCTAATCTATGATGTAGCAGATCGGGATCAGGGCATGCTTTGTATATAACCCATGCAAATTTGAGTTCATATTCTAAAGAACAGAAAGAAACAAGGACATGCTTCATGAAACAATACAAAAAACTGTTTGAACTATACATTATGTGTTGCACCTGCAAACAGAGTTTTTGTTAGTATACATCAGTCATGTTATTAAGGGTAAAGAAATTAAAAGCCCAAAGAAGAAAGTTTCTCTTCAGCAAATAGGTGTCTTTCCTAAACAGACATAGAAGTAATTCAGCTATTGAATAAGCTGCATTTACTGTAAATCTGGATCTTCACACAATTTGGAGGAAAAACCTCACTGAAATATAGAAGTCTGGTAATAGGTAACATAAACAATTGAGAAGATAAAATACTTTCAGAATCAGGTTTAACATGAAACTAGAACTCTTGGCATTAGAAGCTTATTTATAACCAGCATTTTGAAATGGATAGTTACGCAAAGTTAAGAAAATTAAAATGTTCAAGGAACAAACATTTTTTTTCTTTTCGTTTCAATGCAATTACTGGGAATTTTGCAAACTGCATTAAGTGGCGCATGATTAATTAAATATTCCACACATACTTATTAATAAAGTTAAATTAATATCTCATGAACATGCAAATTGAAACATTTCCTCTTTAATTCAAATAATTCTTCATATATAAATAAAAAGATGCCTCTCACCATGATTAACACACAGTAGGGGATACACAAGAATATGCTGGCAATAGCATTTGTAATACCTTGTATCTGAGATTCTGGAGCCATCTTTTTCTTTTGTGCATTATGCTTTGCTGAAAGATAAGTATAGAGTATTTCATTACTATGTGTAAAATGTTTGAAGAATCAGCAATCGCACGGATGGGTGGAGATATAAAATGTTCTCAAGGGCAACCCCATAGTACATTTTTTCCCTTTGTGTCAGCAGCTGTGAGAAGAACTGCAAATCAGCACTTGTAGTGAATCCTACTCAAATGGCCATCTTGCTTAAACAGTAATCCACCGGTAATGACAATTTTTCTAAGAATCCTAATTGTTTTTTCCCATAAAACATGTGTAAATATAGCCTCTAAGCAGCCAGGCACAAGTCTTAGACTGAACTGTATTAAGAAGACACCTTTAGCGATTTGGAACTCTATTGGAATATCCTGTAACAGGACACATTGTTAAATTACTTAGACCAGTAAAATAGAGTCAGTTTTCTTACATTGAGATCAGATCAAAAGATATAATAAAATAATAATATAATTCTTAACACAAGATGTGGTTGTTCTCTTTCTCTCCACCCAATCCACGGCATTTTCGTTAGGTTTGTGAACCACTTCTTCCACTCTGTGGAGTCTTGTCAACAACCCATAGAATGTGGATGCGCAAATTCATTTGGAAGGTCATTTGCAAACTCTCATCTCTTAGGACTGCTCTTAAGATTCCACCGGTTGTGAGTTCCTTATTGTTAAGTTCGGTTATGAATTAGGCTCTGAGAGGATGGAAAGAGAGCTTCAAGTAAGAGAATGAGGGACATGTTTGGCACTGGCCAAAAGAAGGTTAGTTGTTCAACAAAACAAGAAAAGGGTAACAGCTAGAAAACTTGCTCTCATTATTAAGAGTGGAAGGTCAAGGCTAATTAAATTATAAAAACCAAGAAAGTAATAAATGGTACCCCCCCATAAATGGTAACCTTGGTAAAGGAACAAAGTCTTAATAATCTTTTTTGTTCACCAAAACTATTAGACGCTTCACTACATATATTCAGCTGATTTTTTATTTATATATTGAGGAAGTTTTATTAAATTTCATGTATGTTAATGCTTTTCCGAAGTTCCAGAAATATTACTCCTTAATGTTGATGTTGTGAAAAAATATGGATATGCAATTTTATACAATAAATTCCCTCTTTAAAAAATAAATGTTCCTTGACACTTTCACATTCACATAGTACTTACTTTTTGGGGTGGGATGCTTTAGTATTTAGAGTATGTATTTGGATATTAATTTGTAACAAAAAGAAAGTCGCAGAACCTGAAGATATTTTCCTAAGATTCATTAATCATTTAGAATAGTGGTCTCCAATCTTTAACTAAAGAGACATTTTCCTTTTGGAGAAACACTAACATGCCACATTGATTCATTGATTACAATATATAATATGATGTTACATAAATACTGTACCTGTACTACAATAATAATATAAAACTATTTTTAAAAGCAGTATTTGTTTGCTGAATGCAAAAACGAAACACTAGCCCCATGCAGATCCCAAGGCATAAGAGTTGAAGACCACTAAATTAGAAGCAAGAAGGAATTTTGAAATAATAATTTTTTTTAATATTTAGGTTTTATGGCAATTTCGGTTGTTCTTTTTGAGAACAAAACATTTCGATTCCGGTTCTGGCTCTGAAACTATTCTCAATCAATTTTATTATTTTCATTAAAACAGATGCTTAATGATTAGTACTTTGGAGTATTTTGATTACCCCCTCTCTCCCCTGTAATGCTGCACTTGAACCCCCTCTAATAATTATATAACACTTGTGACAAGACCCTCCTTCATTACAATAAGTAAAAATCAATTATAAAGCAGAAACAATTTGTAGTAATTGAATTTAATTATCATTAATATATAATGCAAAGTGAGAATTAGTTGGTGGTGTGGACTGGATAATAATAAGATCAGTGATAATTTTTTTAATGAAAGGACACGTAGGTTAGAATATTTCTGACGAGCCATGCACACGGTCCAATTCTACTGTGCCAACTTAATTGGATTTTAGAAAATAAAATAGATCAGTTTTGAATGTTTTCTTTGCAATTTAATAGATTCAATCAGTACATCAGTGATGAACATTTTCATTTATTTTAACAATTTAAATTTCATTAATTTTTTCTATTTTGATTTAATTTGTTAATATAGTAATGTGTTAGTAAAAGAGTAAATAAAAGGCATAATTTATGGACAACCCCTAAAGGGATTCTTGGGCACAAGTTTTAAAGCATTAAAAGAAATAGTTATTTTTCCATCTGAACCATGTATTAAATCAGTAATCATTTAATAGAGGTATTTTTATACCTTAAACTTAAAGTATCTGTGCTTTATACTAGGAAATATGAACCCCGTGTAATTAATGTTATTTTTTTTATATTAATTTCTTTAATAATAAGTTTCAGTCTCACTCCTGAAACACTGTTTAACAGTTAGGATCTCAATCTGATGTTTTGGATGAATGAGCAATTAGTTAGAACACGCTCACCTGAACTGGTTGGTGATTCTAGCTCAGCAGCTGTAAGAAGTGGTGGCAAATGCAAAGTGTAAAGCAGCTTAAGACGTTGAGTTAGATCAGCTGTACAAGTCATCCCTAAAGCTGCAGCCAACTCCCGGAAATTAAGAAGCCCATCAGCATTATGATCCATTAGCTGTAACAATTTTCTTATAAATAATGTGTACAGCACAGAATGACGACATGAGGAGCAAGCATTTTTAAAGAACAAAGAGAAAGGTAAAGAAGAAGAAAAATTGTAACAGATTATGGGAAAGAGTGACCATAATGTATAGTTATAAAGCAATATTACGACATATTGGTAACTAAATATGGCCAACTGCCAAAGCAACAAGAAAATTGATTCAGTGGAGTCTCAATAACTAGACATTCTATTAAATTGACGTCTTTACCAACAGAAACTATGCATATCATAAAAAAGGTCTTATGTCATTTCTGCAGTTGTACTGGTTATGTGATTAGCTGTAATTTTTCAATATAGAACTATATATACATGTACAGGATGAAGCCACCAAAAGAAATGAAAGCGAGAGATACACCATTATCACCAGATTTTCTTCCACGTAGCTTTATATATCCTTAATACTTATCCAACAAGCTAAAATGAGTTTCACTTTACCCTTTGAGTTCATTAAATTTGACATTTTCATAACTTGGAGGCCTTTCAGCCTACATCAGATAGTTTTTGCAATGAAAGCATTATCACAAATTAAAAATTGTTTAAAAAAGTTTACCCTAAAAAGTCTAGCAGCTAGAGACTCTGCCTGAGATCCATGTCCCCAAGGAGAAAGGCTGACAAACAGCAGACGAAACAAATCAAAATCTATTTTGTAAGCCTCATATGGGGGCTGAGTTGGGTCAAACCGATCCACTGGGGGACGACGTTGACCAAGTAACTCCTCACGCACCAAGGTAAGAAGATCCTGGAAATAAATTTAAGAAATTCTCAATTAAAATAATAGCTAATTATTATTATTATTATTATTATTATTATTATTATTATTATTATTATTATTATTATTTTAAATTAATATAACTTATTTAATACTTGGCTGTCCGGGAAGAGCCGCATCTCAGTTGTTCGAGCTGATGTTTTAGCCATCATGTTGTGTCTTCTTCAGACCTATACTGCTGCCAAGAGGCTAGCATGTCATATTAACGTATGAAAGCTACAACACAATGGCCGAAACATCAGCTCAATCAACTGAGACGCAGCTCATCCCGGACAGCCAAGTATCAAATGACTCCAGCAATGAAAGCCTACGAATCCAATATATAACTTAGGTTTCAAGAATTAAGGTATAAATTTAATTTTTTGTATACCACCATTATAAATGATAAGTTTCCATTGCATGAAATTGTTCATAAAAGGGCATTTTATGGCACAGTCTATCCTTTGTGCTCGTCCTCCATACCCCTGTGCTCTTTTCTCGATGACATAATACTAACATATTATGTCACCTATGAAAAACTGGTTTTGAAATTTGTTTCCAAAAGAAATCTTGGTTACTTTATAAATTTATAATGCTAGTACACAAAATAAAGAATACACAACTCATTTATAATGTTGCTTTATTGCATTCATACAAATTTGAAAATTCGCTCCCAGCATTGCTCATTTTAAAAACATTGACCATGCAACACAGCATAACATTGTAAACTAGTTATTATTAGTTGAATAATATACCATTTCTGGGTAATATATTAATTCTATTTTTTTCAGAGTCAAAGGCACAGCAAAGGAAATCTCTTTCACAAAAATATTAATTAATTAAATTACTAACATAAAAAAATCATGAAAAAGTATAATTAAACTAGGATCATGTATAACAATTATTGATGCATTAACATCGATGACAGGAAACAACAACTCTAAGACAATTTTCTCTCCCAATTTAATTTTAATAAATACTCTTCCAAAACCACTATAGAATGTCCTTATTTTAACTTTATTCATTCTCACCTGCAACTCATCTTGAGAGAAATATCCATCACCAACAATACTTCTCACAACATTGCGACCTGCACCATCTTCCAATTGTTGAACCACACGGAGTCGATACTTGAGCCGCAGGCGCTCAATGGTGCTAGCAGTCAGTGCTTCATAGTGGGTGTAGGCATCATAGATTAGCCGTTGCACCGACACACTCTGCGGGACACCCCGGTTCTGCTGTCACACCAGTGGCATATGTAATGTGACTCTTGATACATTAATGAACATGTGTGAACCAAAACCCACTTATGTGAAAAAGCACAAACTACCATTAAATGTATGTTTTTTTCTTGTTTTTTTCTTGCCTTCCTCCCCCCCCCCCCCTCCCACACAGTTAAAAGTTGAATTCTTTCTTGGTAATAAAACGGGATCAAAGTATAAATTTAAAGTAGTACAAAATCAATCTCCAAATACGGTTGAAAATGTTCCGACAAATCATCAAAATTTGATTTCAGAATATAAGATAAGTAAATGCAAGAGGCAGCAGGAAAAAGGCAAGGTTTAATACTAAAATGAGCAGTAAACCCCATAAGGTGGATACAGGAAATAAATTAACCTCATCCAAATCCATTAAATTCGTTTTTGATAACAATACAAATGCAATAGAAACCATAATTTCACAAACTTGTTAAAGCAATTGAATTAATATACCTATAACTGTAAGATAGTTTTCAACCACTTCATATTCTTTGAAATGGAATTTATTCAATTCTAGGTACCTAACAAAGAAATGTACCTTGGGAAAAATGTTTGGGAACCACACTGATGATCACTTCTCAGCTCATCTTCAAAATGACCAACTTAATGGAAATAGTTTGTGCTTCTCCAAAAGTCCCCAAACATAAAAGAAAATTAAACAAGTAGAAAAGAAGAAACAAGGAAAACGAAAAAATGAAGAAACTGATAACCCACACCTAGTGCTCGAGCACTATAAATTACAACACTGAAATGTTTGATACTTTATAAAGTTTTCTTGTGTGCCTTGCAATGTATTACTGCACACTCACCTTGGTAACTGTTTCTCCATCTTTATTGTGCAGCACACAATCCTTGGTCTCTTCATTGTAAACTCCTTCAAGATAATCTGCAAGTAACTGCATTGCTTCACCATCATCTCGACAGTTGAGTAATCGTTCTTGATTAGCCTCAAGAACAGCCAAAGCCACCTGAAAATTACAGCATGAATAGCTGAGAATGGCATTATACAACAACTTATTCACTCATTTCGACATGTGGTGCAACAAATTGTGAACATTTTGGGATTCCTTCAGCACTAAAAGTATTTAAATTAGTGAAAATACCTGAAAAATTACTTTCGCTCCATCATAAAAAAAACAATCAATGATATTGACTGCACTTTCATATGGCATAACACTGAAACAAAAAATATGCATTTTGAAAATAGCTGTAAATTCTCAGAAATTAATGTGATTCTGGGCAACAGACAAATAATATTCTTAAATATTTAAAGGTGAGGTAGCTACTCATTTTGTGAAAAAAATACCCCTGACTTTTCCCAATTTTCCTGATTCCTTGAGAAGATTAGTACAATATTTCACACAATTTTTAAAAAATGCATTAAAGCAAGCTTGACACTAATTTGTCAGCTCTCTGACTTCAGTACAAAAAAGGACAAATTTATAAAAAAAATTTAGCAAGAGGTACTATTTTTGACTGGACCAATTTGTTTAAGGAATAATATCTACTTATTATAATCATCTCAAAATTGTCCCTGATTTCTAACGATTCTTCTTTAAATTCCCTGATTTATTTCCAAATTTTCCAGAGATACGAAATTTCCTGATTTTCTCAGTTTTACAGAGAGTAGCCACCTGGAGGAATAAGAGTGTTTCAGAGTAGCAATTAGGTAATATTTTATGAAAATACCTGAGAAAAATTGTAAGGAACCAAGACAATGAGATCATACGAATCATTCCTAACTCATCTAGTCGTGCATGGAGATCTGGAAGATGCTCTGAAGTCAAATCATCAAGGACACTTTGGTCCACAAGTGCTCCTACTACTCGGGTGTTGTAGTAATCAGGCAACAAATTCTCACATAGAGTTGCCAGCTGCCAAAATGCTTCTTCTTCAGAGCAATATATAAGAAGAACAGATGCCACAATATTCATAGCCTGACAGTAACCTAAAAATAAGTTATTCCATCACTTAACAATTCAGTTAATATGTATATATAATTAGTGACATTATGTATGTATTTACAAATTCATACTAAGACCTGATTTACACGCTTCCTTTTGACACATGATTCATGAACCCCAGAACAGACGCCAGACTGCACAAGCGAGTTCTCTAAAACTCTGAAGTCATTCGTCAAAAGGAAGTCTGTAAATCGAGGCAAAGTATCAAACCATTAAAATTAAATTTGTCAGATTTACTAAATTATTAATTACAAGAAATTTTTTAATGACAACAAAATCAAACATTTTTATTTAAAACAAGGCATGTGCTAATAACAAAGTAAATGGTGAGGAATAAAAAAAATTATCAATAATTTGTTTTTTCCATTTCCATCACATGCTAAACATATATGTCAATAAGTTGAAAAAATTGTATTTACTCTATTAAAAATCCTCAAACAATCAATGCAATCACTAAATGTTAAAATAAAACAATCATTTGAGTAACCCATGTTAATACAAATAAATAAATAAGCAGAATTCAAGTAAAATGTACTTTCTCATTAGTAATGAAAATATACTCCATTTTACTCAAGACCAACCTATCTGAGGGTTGCGCCATGCATATGCAGAGAGTACTCGTCGCAAGGCATTGATGCCTATTTCAGACTGGAAGGCTGGATGCTCGGGTAATGAGCGATGAAGATCTCTCTCAATTTCATCATTGGCTTGGCAAGGCTTCCCCAAGCTGTGTTCTACCAAACTACGGTAGACACCAGGGTTGGTTGCCATTTCGTTAATTGCTCCTGCAATGATATTTACATAAATCAAATACAAAAGGGGACTTGCTGGATAGGATGCACTCATTGGATTTATCTTCTAGTTAAAAAAAAAGGAGGATGCTGGGTACACAGAATTTGAATTTTTGTTAAATGTATTCAATGTTCTCTTTGAAATGTGTCTCAATCTTAAAAGGTTAAGGAAAATAATATTGCAAGAAAATTAATTGCTTACAGAGCTTAAGACCTAGGTTAGGTTTTTCAGAGTAGGCAGTGATTCTGAATTTTGAGGTGAATTTTCACAGGTTTTTTTTTCAAAAGGTGGTTATTTACAGGAATAGTTCCATATGACGGATGCAAAACTATGCATATTGACTCCTGCTTTCATGAAAATTAAAGTAAAGGTAACACTGCTTGTGAGGTAACTTCAGCTCAGGCATTTGAGTACCCATTCAGGTGTACAATTGAATCTCAGAACTCTCAAGACACAGTACAATGTGCATCAGCCTTGCAAAACATTGTTTTAGAAATTGAAAAATACCAAATAAAATGGCAAGAAAATATAAGAAGAATGAACATATATCAAGAATTGTTTTCCAAGAAAAGAACACAAATACAAGCAAAGAGGAAGAAGAGACCAAGGTAGATCAAGAGAAATAGGAAGACCAGCAGCATCTTGGAAGTGACTAAGAAAATACTGGAAAACTTTAAAAGAACAGGCCAAAAGGCTTACATCTTATCTATACATGATGATGACTAGAATCTATTGTTAGCAACTAACCCGAAAAAGTCATCCACACTTCCCGTCGAAGTTGGTCAGGAATACCCTGAAGCACTAACTTCGCCACCTCAGTAGTACGATACATTGTAATGCCCCTTCCATAGTCAGTGAAATGCATCTCCCACATCTTCTCTTTTGTTTCTTGAGTTACTCGTGTTTGAGCAGCATTAGGAAGCTTAAACAATGTCATTAGTGGTGGCTGGGACTTCCAGCTTGACACTGGAAATCAAAGTAAATTTCTGACATTCTATATACCTGACAAAGTGATAGAAATGTGCTTTGGTAATGAACTTACAGTTTTGAGGAACATCTCCTTCTCCAAATTTATTGCCCAAAGGAGGAGAATTCTTTCCGATTAATGGATCTGGAGGAACTGGAGGCGGTCTGGAACAAATAGAATTTTTTTAGCACATTGTTAAACACAATACTTTCTACTTAGAAGTCATTGTTATGGCTTAAATGTAAACAGTGAAACCTCCCTGAATAAACACTTCCTGGGGGCAGATATGTTTTCATAGAATACAATTTTCTGGTTCTGCAACAAAAACTTTTGGTTTTTTAGAACCTCTCTAAACCTATCTTGATAGGACATTTTTTCCTAATTCCAAGCATGTCCAGAATAATCCATTCACTGTATATGGGATTAATCGTTAGTTATAGCAACTTGTTCAAAAGAAACAAATGCATTCTCAATTAGGCAATGAATTACTAACGTATTCCTGGCAAGGTAATAGTATCCCCTTCATTAGAAAATTGTTTTACACACCAGTCTTTATTTTCTAAGGCATTTAGAAGTGTATATGTTTTAAAAATATTTCATCAATTCAAATTACTGAATATCAAATTTAAAGAAGATATAAATTTAATGTACTTATGAACATGTATTTTTCTTCAGAGATAAATCAGACACTAAACATAACTAATTTTTTTGCGATTTCTTCACTATATATTTCTCATCCCTTCAATTTCATGAATTATATTTCTTAAATATGAATACCAAATTAAGAAAATCAACAAATGTAATAATTGTCATATCTCTCTTTTTAACAATTTAAGTGGTTAGATGTTACGCATGAATTCAACTTACAAACTCAGAGTTCGTATCCTGGACAGTAGTTCAGAGATCTTCTGGACCACAAAATCCCTATCCAAGATCTGCGCAAAGAGGAAGCTCACACGCCGATTTGTGGTGATCAGCAGCGATTTTTCCACAGAAGGATTAGATGCCTGATTTTCAGCACGTTCAACCAGCATTACATCACGCAATGGAATAACTACACTCACCAAGTTCTTCACCTGTGAAGGAGGCATCTATTTAAGATTACAGGATAAGTACAGGATAAAGTGATCCATTTCAAACAACAATCAGAAATGTAGTGAACACACCCTACTCGTGAAGCACAGATAGTTCTGTGACAAATACATGCATCCCCAAACATTGCGCTTGTTGTAAGGAGTCCAGAGAGTTGCTTCAGTCCTTCCATCAAGTTTCTCGCAGGCAGGCAATCTAAAGAGAAGTCTATAAGCCTCTGAGTGGGCTCTCGCATTCAGGTCACGAATGAGGAAGGAGTTCTTCTTTGGCACATTCTTACTGCAAAAAGTGAGTATCATTTACAAGTTAATGCTAATGCTAAACTTCAGATCTTGTATTTCTAAACATATACCACTTTGCTTTGACATTTTACAAACAAATTAAAAACAAGTCCCTATTCTTTTCAAACATGTAGCAAACATCCTGCAGTAGATTTATTTGCCTTGGAACTATTACTAAAAGTTTTCCTTCCTTTTCTGAATTAAACCTGAACTACCTTTAGTAATTTATTTGTAAATCTTTCATGTATAGATATGATTAACTTGTTCCGTCTTCCAAAGGCACAATATCTTTCACCCCAGAAAATTAATAAGAAAATTTAAAAACATACCTTAGTTTATTCAGTAGATCCTTATCTTCACTGAAACCACCCTTGTCATCGATGAGCCTGAATAAAAGACGAGTTCTAATAATAAGGAAGACAACAAAATAAAAACTGAAAAAGGAAAGATGGGAAAGAGACTCACTGTTTCATTGCCATATTGACTAGCTGCTCCATGAGTGTAAAAGTTTCTCCCTTGTGCAGGAACATTGAGAAATGATACTGAAAGAAAAGAGTAACAAGCAATATTTATTTACTTACTTATTCCTTCTTTCAAAAGAACTCTGCAACAAACAGTACTGAAGAGATTCAAGAATTTGCTTGGACTCACAAATTGCATTTATCCATTGTCAATTCCCAATGGCTTGAAATAGATTTGAAGAAAAAAAAAATTTTTTTGTAATGTTTGCAATTGAAAACTTACTATTTCATTTCTATTATTATCTTTGTTTTCAAACATACATATTAGACCTACTGGAATAACTTGCTTTCTAAACTGAGAAAATAATTTTTTCTCACAAATGCCTTTCCTTTGGGAAACAGATATTCTATTTTGAATCTTACTAAGCAATTCTAAAGACAATCAATTTCAAAAAACATGTAGATGCCGAATTCATATTAACAACTACATCTGAGCAACTAACAATATTATATTATTTAGAGTTAGTTGTAATTGCTATGCATATTACTATGCACATCATGCATATCATGCATTACTATCATTACTATGCATATCAAGTTAAAACTATCTTTTCTTGGTCAAGCTAGCACAATTTGCTATGATAAACCTATAAAAAAAAACTACTCAGTGGTTAAGATCTGCACAGAAACGGTAGTGATGAAACTATAATTGATATATGGTATGTTTCACATTTTTCCCATGAAATACCATCAATAATAAAAATGACAAGATATGCTTTTCGGATTTTCTCACTTTAAAAAGCAGTTTTATGTCAATAAATCAACATGACAAAAAAGAAAAAAAACAATGAGGATTATAATTCAATTTAAAAATCAATTTGATTGTAAATTAAAAATTCCAATAGAAAAAATAGGGGGGTTATTGATAATTGTTCATATAAGCAAGGAGACACAACTTCAAAAACATTCATTGGAAAGAAAAACAGATAAGCTTCAGTTATGAAATAGATATTTATACTAATTAAACTCAGGTAGGACATGTTAATTGGCCATGTTTAATCTTTTGTCTTATCTGCATAATTTACAATCTTCATTCAGAATTAATCTGATTATTGAGTTACTCTATAACAATAAGGCAATGTGTCAGTGACCTCATCGATAACATCACAAATAAATAAAATCAAAATGTTTGAAACAAAACACTTTGAACTCTTTGAGAGAATAAATTATCAAAAAGGTGCAATTAATGTAACTTTGTTTATTATTTGATTCAATTATTAATGAACCAGTAAAATTATTATATTTTCAAGTGCTCAGTACCTATCATTCTTCACAGTTCAGGAGAAAAATTATACATTTGAAAAAGTTATTCACAATACTTGCCTCCTTTTCACGGGTGGCTATGCGTATGGAATCCGGAAAAAGTAAGCTGCTAGTTTTCTCCAATTCTGTGACATCAGACCACCGGATAGCCAATTTTGTTTCCCTGCCCAAAATGTAAGCATAAAAACACAAATGGCCAACTGAAAGGTACATCCAACCCTGGCGTGGCATTCGACTCTTCCAGAAACTAATAAATTCCAAAACAAAAACATATTAGTGATTTTCATCTGCTCAACACTCTCCATTGCATTTCAAAGCTCAGTTTTTAATTGAAATTAAACTTTTGCTCATACAAACGACAGAAACACACCTGCAGGAGTAATAATTAACCAACTTTTCTTCAGGTGGCATGTTAAATAGCCTTCGGAACTTGAAAGTGACAGATTTAAAGGATTGCGTGTCTTCATCTGTAAAAAGTTTCAACATTTCTTTCTGATCTTACTTTCGATTATAAAAATTGTTAAAGATAAAAGTAAATTTAATTTTTTGTTACTTACCATCAAGGTTGTCAGGTACACAGTTAGCAATAACAGATTGAATTTTGCAACACACAAATTCTGTGACATCTTCCTCTGTGTCAAAAGATGTCAATGTATCTGACAAATTCTTTTGCAGCCAAATCCAATCTTTTTCGATTTCAGAGAATGTTAAAGAGCAGGCTATAACTATTAAATAATGCCTTACTATTATACAATCCAGAAATATACCATTTCATAATACCCTAGTGGACATGCACTGATGGTCACAGTGAAACAATAAAGGAAAGTGAGCAAAGTGATGTAAGAATCTCAGGAAGGATGCTATGGTTCAGAGCATCTTGTCTTCTAGGAGAGTTTATATCAATTTGCAGATGGTTATATTAAAGGCAAGTTCTTTATTTTTCTCTTTATAAAAACACACATATTTACATATAAAAATGATACTTACGATAATAAACTTCGGACGTGGGTGTTTGGTGAAGAATACGGAAAGGTGGTGGTTTTGTGTCAAAAACACTGTCGAGTGTTCCAACAAGTATAGAAGAAAGCCCTTTTGTTTTACCATGTCCTTTTCTCCTTTGAAGTACAAAATACAAATTTGCCTGTTCGGTGACCCTGAAATAAGACGTCAATGACAAACGCGGAAACAAAGTATTCATGTAAACAATATTAATAATGATAGTTTTTCAGTTAGCTGATCTGACAGTCTTGGTAAATACATGACGCACAAAAGCAAAGAGAATTGGGAATTATTCCGACAAAACAAATTTTAAATACTTTACGCAATAAGCGAAATGGCATATCTCATTGACAGGTCGTTATCTACATCACTAAAGGAATCCCAGTTACCAAAATCATTGGCGTTGCAACCAAGGCGCTACGTGATTATAACGGAAAATAACGCTAACATAGGATGTAAATATTTACATTCTTGGTAATGTCACAAATCGGCGGATAAGGTAAACTAATTATACTACTTGCCAAAGTGCGTTTGCCAGCAGAACTTCTTGAGGTTTCACCCACATTGTGACACCTTGAATTTAAAAACATATAGCTCGGTTTTCCCGAAACTAAACTTCAAATGTACACACTCTCATTGTATTCCTCGTAGCATTGAGTAATCGAACTGACATTTCTAAAATACGACTGTCCACAAAGCCTGAGAACACGGTGTCCTGGCCGTGTCCGAGCCCACGGAGCACGGCACGGAGTCGTTCTCATACCAATATTCCACTGAACTTCAGAACAGTCGATTCTGACAGACTCCTCCCCCAAGCGAGAGGTCGAGACACATTCATTGTTAATTCATTTCTTTCTCCATAGGTAGCGCAAGATGAAGCTTTGTGACTTCGTGCATCTTCGCTCAGCAACCGAAGTTTTACCCCATAAAAGGAAATTTTCGTATAAACTAAAAATGGCTGAAACAAGTGAGACCATGGTGGTTAGTGTGACAACTCTTCAACAACAGAAGAGTAATTCTGGTGTTACATTAACTTGTGATGAGACAAATGTTGAAAAGGGTGAGTAAAACAATAACATATTTGATCAAAGTGATGCATGTTGGTCAAAGTACGTAATAATTTCACGTGAAATTTGGGTTCTTATTAACTGATGTCATGAGAAAAAATCCGTAAATTGTGCAGGGGGACTGTGACAGTCAGAGGTTAATATCCGTTGCATTTGGTGATAATGCTGTGCGGGCATCGCATGTGGAAATCTGACTGTATCAGTCAATTTAAGAAGTGAGTAAGTTCCAGCATGAGACATTTCCAAGTGCCGTAAGCTTGTTGTTGATGTGTTAGTTTGCGGAGTGACCGATAGATAGCTGGCAAAGCGACTGTCTTTGTCATTTGGGTGTAATTTTGGAAAATTATTTATTTATAAATGTCATTTTTCAGTTTGCTTTACTGAGGAGTTGGTGAGTTATAAATGAATGATAAATAATTTTATAGAGATTGTGTACAACTGTACTTTAACTCATAAATTATATTTGTGTGTTGTCAGAGTTTTTTTTTTTTTTTAATTTTCTTTTTGGAATTATACACATTGCATGTTCAATTTGTTGTGCATGCCTTGGGCATTTGATAGTCATGAGTTTGATGTAGTTCTTTTAATCAGAAAAACTGTTCAGGATTACACTGGTCAACTTTGCCAGTCTCAAACCACAATAGCTGCAAACAACCTTCATTGCTGAATTTGACATCAATTTATGCTTCTTTGCTGCTTGGTGGTGGATGTGGATCTCCTTTCTGGTCTGAGCTGGAGAGTGGTGAATGAAATTTGTAAATATTTGTGTGAATAAAACGAATAAAAGTAACCTAACAAGGCTATTTCTGAATTTCTTCTTCCTTTTCCTTTACAATTTTGGTGATGGTTGTAAGTTGCCCTGAAGTTCAACTCAAGTAGATGTAAGGGAATATCTGGTAGTAAAAGAAAGCCTCAATACTGACTACCTACCAGGTATTACAATATAAAATTAATAATGCAATTGTACAAACTTTATGCAAATAACTATTTATTGCTTTCTGACATTTAAATATGAAGTAAATATGTTTTAACCAAAATAGAATGTGTAGGGGCCCTTATTCTTACTGGGATTCCTCATTACGTACCCTTGTTATTCCAGAAAGTGGTGATACTAGTGCACCAGCTGCTTCAGAATCTGCAGTTTGCAATGGTGGTGTGGATGGTGAGTAGTGATCCTTCTGCCTAATTTAAAGAAAGTATAAAAAGTTTACGGGGTTCAGGGTTCTTAATTTAATTGCAGCTCTTATTAGAGTAACCCGCTGATGCAGCAAATCTTGGATTACCATCAATGCAGAAATAGGGGATTCAATGCCTGGTTTTGATGTTTCTTACATTGAGAGAAAATGTTATGACAGTAAAATCAGTACAATTTTGGGTGATATTTTGTTTTTATATATATACATTAAAGAAATTTAAAATTTAAACAAAATCCATTATTAATAATTTTTAGTCATCATTCTTTTCTTGGTACTTTTTGAGGACTTGATTCTCATGTTTTGTTTTCTTAATCCAATAATTTCATACCATTCGGTGGGTATCCACATTTGGTCTCAAAAACCAAAAATATTTGGATTTAATAATTTATTGATTTGCTGGTTATCAGCATAATGCTCTGTCGGTTATCGATAAAGAGACATCATATGACAAGAGTGAACACTAGGCTGCAGGTTTTGCATATACACGTGTTTGTTTGATTTTATTTATACGTAATGTGCGTTAAGAATAAAGTCATTACTTGATTGGAATCTACGTTAAAAAAATGTTGATATATTTTACAATGCGCATTTACTGGCAAACGTACGATTTTTTAAAAAAATGTCCTCTGTGGTATGTAAAGAGCGAGATCGCTTCCGAGTTTGCGTCATCGGTGTGTGGTACATTTTTTCGAACTGTCACCTACGAACTTCCCTCATGGAAGAAATCTGTGCCCGGTCTTCGCCCCCCTGTCAAACGAACTGATTGCTAAAGTGAGGCGCACTCTTGCCAAGCGTTCTTTGGATCTCCTGGCTCTGTACCTCAAAATGATGCAGATGTAAGCATATCCCTGTGTAGAAGAAGAGTATAACATTAATGGTGCTACAGAATGGCACAGCCATCCTGGTGCCAGTTTTCTAATTTCTTTGTTCTGGGCTAGCTTTTCGGTTTTGCCCCACGCACTTCCCGTCTATCGCCACCAAAAGTACATTTTATCACATTTCTCAAATTTTTTGGACCCTAATAATATAACTGAAATACGACTTTAAGAATGTTACAGAAAAGTAATATCTAGTCCTGTGGCAATTTTCGTTGAATAATTTGGAGCCGTTTTTCAGAAATCGTCTTTCTATCGTATCTGTAAATGCGAAATTTTGAGCACTTTTTTTACAGATAACTTTTGAGTTTTGGAGGACCTTCATTAGAAATCATTTTTTTAAAAAATACACACAAATGCAATAATGTACACAAATCGCGGGTAATATAAATATTAACGGCGTGAGAGATAAAAAAAACAAGAAAGAAAAAAAAATCGGAGACGTTTTCGAGAAAATGGCATTTGAACGCGAGAGCTCATTTTCACTGTAAACTTTTGAGTTTTCGTGAAACTTTATAAGACATCATTTGAAGCACATGTGGTCGTAAATTTTGTACACAACGCCGGTAATGTAAAACATTAACGTCGTAAGATTGATGTAAAAAAAATTAAATTGTGTAATTTTTCGAAGAAACAAAATGTAGCAAACATGAGTTTGTCATCTTCAACAGTTAATTTTGAACTCTCTACCAAAAGTTAAAAAAAATGGAGCAGTTTTTTTTATATTTTTTAATATTGTCCATATTTCACATAAAATTGCGCGAAAACCACTGTAGTTTTCAAAACATGTACATGACATTATTGAAAAAACGCATTATGGAGACCAAATTTTATTTGAAGAAAAGTCTCTATCTGTAATGTTGTAGGAAGATTTAGATTTATTTAGTCAAAACACCTTATGACGTATGGTCGAGATCATCTGCGCACGTTTCCTTGTGTTCCAGAATCCCTTCCCATACTTGTTTGTTGGATCATTGGCCCGGAAGCTGTAATACATTAATTGTTACAAGCATATTCGGTCTTTTTAAAAAAATAAATGTAAACTAATTCATTATATATCACTGTTTTGCTAAAATAAACATAATTTTTCTTTTTGTTGCTCACTATAGTCTCTAATAGTAATAATAGAAACAGTTAGGCATCAGAAAAGATTTTACTTTTAACTTAAATTTGTGAACAGGCTTCAATTGTTTAATGTCATCTGTATTGTACGTGGATTTCTGATAGAGAGTGTTAATACTGACATTTGATGAACTTGATTTCTGCGACGTGTGTTGTAATTATAAATATCAGTATTGCATGAAAATATGTCCCCACCGTTAAGTAAGTAAGTTTTAATAAATATTACAGATTCGTAAATAAATAGGCAAGAAGATTCCACGCTCAATAAAGAGAGGCTTACAGGAATCTCGCGGATGGCGGATGTGTTCGAATAATTTTCTTTTGCAATCTAAACATGAGCTTCCCCAAAGTAGTATACCATATCTCAGGCGGGAATGCACATTTGCAAAATTCACGCAACGAGTTGCATTAAGGCTGACAAAATTTGAAAGAATTCTGAATGCGTAACATTATTAATTTAATTTAGTGTTTAATTATGTAATATATGTACATTCCATTTGAGGTTTGACTGGATTGAGAGACCTAGAAATTTTGTTACCTCGTTCTATTTATTGTTTTTTTGCAAAGAACACTCATGTCATCGGCCATCATCTGTTTTTAATAGACGAGCGCGTATCGTTTACGTATAACAGAGAGAGGATAGGACCTAAGATTGAGCCTTTCGCGACCCCATATTCAATTCGGTAATAAATTTGAAATATAAGTAAATAATGTCATTTTGTGCCAGGACGAAATTTCTACTCTTTGAGATCGATGTTTAAGGTACGAGGTATTCCAATCTAGGGCGATACCGCGAATTCCATCAGAAGGTAATTTTGATAGCCAGATGCTATGGTCAAGAACGTCAAAAGCTTTCGAAAGATCTAAAAATATTACAATGGGTGCTTCATTTTGGTCCATTGATGAAGCAACATCTTTAAGAAAAGAAAAAGGCAGTTTCCGTAGATTTTGATTTTCTAAACCCGTGTTGAGAGTTTGAAAACTCTTCGTTTTTCCTGAGAAAAGTTTCCATTCGCGTATAGAAAAGTCTCTCTAATATTTTTGAGAAACCTGACAAAAGAGAAAGATGACGTAAAAATTCAAACTTTTGCCGTTTTTAAAATTTTAGAGTTAATGAAAATCGGACTTGTTCCATCTTTAGAAGTGTATTTCATTCACGTCTTAAAAGGAAAAAAACAATCAAACAAACTTTGAGCCATTTTTGAAAATAGCACAGGGGCTTCATATAAAGAACCCCAAAATTTAAAGAATTTTTTCAACATCTCAATTTTCGACTCGGGGCCAAATCGGCCGGAGAATATTCATTTGGGAAAAAATATTCGGAATAGTTTAGATGCTAGTGTTGTTCACAGACGGATGAACGTTTTGAAGAAAAAAACTTCTTGGTTTCTGGGGCCCCAAAAACGTGTATTTCCGTCGAAATTAATTTTCCGAAGCAATACATAACTCCATGTATGCATTTACCCCGTGTGTGCGTTCCCCCCCCCTCAGAATTGTTTTCACCTTAGGCTTACCTTAACATAGGCACGTGCTTATGTTGCACCACCTCCAGATAATCGACAAAATCTTATAATGTGTTCGGAGTAAACATTTTCCTTTTAATCACATTCAGTTTTTAATGTATTGCAGCAATATCGATGTATATGAAATCATTTTGGAATCAACGAGCGCTCTCTCCGTCATTGGTGTTCTCCCGTGCCTCGCCCCAGGTAGTGCATCATGTCACGCTCTAAAGGGGTGTGTAACACGAGCGTTGTGTTGATGTGCGTCATCTATGTGATGACTTCAGCTGCGTCGACAAGCGTTGATACCTGCACACACGAGTCGCTTAACGCATGTCGTAGGTTAACACTGTATCATATGCGAAACCGAACTCGAGCACTTTTGACAACGTGCATAGTAACCACAGCCCAGGCAAGACGATCAAGCTACAAAAGAAGTCAAGGTAACGTGAGTTCTCTAATCTTCAAAGCGCTCGCCCGCTCGGCGATGGGCATTGGCAGCAACGCACATCGCCAAAGAGCGCTCGTGTGCCGATTTGCCAAAAGGCGGCTCCATACATTCGGCGAATCCCAATTAGTGTGGACGGGTTATTTGGTTTTCGCCCTACCCACCGCGTGCCGGTCTTAGGCCACATCAAAGAGAGCGAACATTCGCCGAACACGTCAGCTGTTCGGGTTTGGGCAAGCAGTAGCTCCCTACTCGGCGAATGCCGAATGCGTGAAGCCGCGTAAAGATTCTACGACGCGTTAAGTGACTCGTGTGCGCAGGAATCGACGATGCTGACGTCATCGAGGTTAGGTAATGTGCCTTAATGTAATGCTTGTGTGACAAGTGTTAGTTTTTTTTTACCGCGTTTACTCCTTAGCCAACATAGGGGCTGTGTGTTTTAGCAATATTAAAAACGGAAGAACGGGTGTTTGCCGATGACACGAATGCTCTTTGCAAAAAAGAAACAAATACTACGATTTTAGAAGTTTCAAATTGGTTTTGTTATAACAAATTAATAGTTAACGAAGGAAAAACAGTTTCAATGCCTTTTTGCATCTCAAATCAGCAATCGCATGCTCCATTGAAAATGAACCTCTTTTCACAGAAAACTATTGAATTGCCGAAAAACTTCATTATTTCAAGAACTTCCCGTGAGAAATGCAATAGTCGTTACAAATCGCAGGCAATATTCGTATTAAAGGCGTAAGAGATATTTAAAAAATATTCATTTGCGTTATGTTTTAAAAAAGAAAAAAAGAAAAAATGAACTTTACGTCATATTAAATAGGGCAATTATAGCACTATATATTCCAAAAGTTTGAAGAAAAAATGGAGCTGTTTTTGAGAAAATTGTGTTGTTCCTGAAATTGCGAAAATTTGAGCTAGTTTTGACAGAAAACGACTTGAGTTTTTGAGAAGCTTTATATGACATTATTTAAAGCACACGTTCTCATAATAATGTGAGCAAATTGCTGCTA